CATTATTTTCATTATCTATTCATCCTTGAGGTATCCTACAAACAGGCAAGGATTCAGGTTCCATAGTAAAAAAAAAATTCTCCAACCTCTTTCATATTTTTAATATGCATTATTATAGTCAGAAGATCTGTATTGCACCTCATTGAAAGTTATAGAATTTAATATCTGTCCATTCTTGAGAACTCATCTATTGGATATAGCAAATTTGTGTTTTTTGCTATCATGACTACACATGAAATGTCATTTAAAATTTACTTATAACCTGAGGATTTAAAAACTCTTAATTGTACTGCAAAGCTACACTAGAAAATAAGTTTTCTTGTCCAAAAACTACATAGATTAATGGCAGGATGTGCACTGTAATGTATTTTGATGGACATTTTTCCAGTTTTGTATGTTTTTAAAACATAGTTATCTCATTTATTGCCATGTCCTTATGTTTGCCCTGAACATTATATTACAATAGTCCCCTAATCTACTATTTTGTTGTCTCTAGTTTTAGTTACCTGTGGTTAACTGTGTTCCAAAAATAGTCATTGGAAAATTCCTGAAGTAAATGATTCATTAGCTTTAAATTACATTCTCCTTTGAGTAGCATAATGAATCATTGTGCCTTCCCACTCCATTCACCCTGGAAGATGAATCATTCTTAGCTTAGGGGATATATGCCATATAGGATACCAGCCCTTTAGTTACTTATTAGTCTTCTCAGTTATCTCAGTGACCACTGCAGTATCTCACGGCTTGTAGGGTTCAGCACCATTAAAGATTTCCAGCAACCACAAGAGACTTTGAAACATATCCCCCACAAATAAGAAGAGACTTGCATTTTATAGAGACTTACATGATTCTCATAAATAATATTTTAATGTAAAATGTTTATAAATTTCATTATTTAAAAATTTTTAACAATGTCTTTGACATTTTATTTTTCATATAGTATATTTTTTACAGTTACTTTCTAGAAATAAAATTTCTGGATCAAATGATATTATCATTTTAAAGCTTAAAATATATGTTTAAAATTATGTTCCTCAAATTTTACACTATCACCAACAATATTATGGAAATATTTGTTTGACATCATTTGATTGCTTTAGTTAATATAATTTTCAATGATCATTTACTAGTTTAATGGTTGTTTAATGCAGATATTTTAAAATTAATATGATATAAATGTCTAATGAAGTTAATAAACATTATTAACAAGAATAATTGTTTTTCTATTTTCTGTGTTTTTTGTCTGTTGCACTGTTTTCCTTTTTATTTTTGGGTTATTTAAGGGTTTCTTTCTACCTTAGAATATTTCCTGCTACTCGACAATAAAAAATATATTTTTTCCTTAATATATGTTAATTGTACATAAATGAGTTAATAATTCATTACTCCTGAACCTAGAACCTATATCTTTTCAAAAATTACTAAATAATTACTGATATAGTCACTTGTAATTTTCCTATAGTTGGAATGTTTATTTCACTTTTTAAAACACAAAGACTTTGACTTAGAGGAAGCTGAAATAAAAAAATTTAACTGTTTTACTGTTTTTCTCAGAAAGTTAATTGTCCAGATAATGTTATTTTTAAGGGTGCTGTATCATAATGGATTTAAAGAGAACATTTAACACAATTTTTAATGATTGGATATTGTTTCTCAATAAATTATATAGTCTAATATAGTAATGATCAAAGTGTACATATAGATTTAACAGAAATTAATGTCCCTATGATAGTGCCATTTTTCTTTAAATAACACAATACTCAATATATAGAAGACACTGCATAAATGTTAGGTAAATAAATAGTTAAAAATTGAGTGAGCCAGGCATGGTAGTCCATGCCTGTAATCCCAGTGGCTCAGGCATGAGGATCACAAGTTCAAAGCTAGCCTCAGCAATTTATCGAGGCCCTAAGTAACTTAGTGAGACTCTGTCTCACAACAAACTGAGGATGTGGCTCACTGATAAGCACCCGAGTTCAATTCATGATATCAAAAAAAAAAAAAAAAAGGAGTTAGTGAAATTTTGTATAAATTAATTATGCTTTAATACAATCATGTATCATTTGATATTTTCACTATTCTTATTAAGGCATTTATGACTTTGCTGTTTTTATTATTTTTAAAAAATTAAACATTTTAATTAGTCTTTCCTTTGAATGGATTCTGGAAATAGTTTGTTTCTAGAATAATTTTTCAGTTCTTTTTAATTCTCTAAAGTATATATAACATAATGTTTGTTATTTCAAGAGTTTTTGTGTGCACAGTTTATTGTCCTTAATTGATTGACATTGTTGTCAAACCATCATCACAATCCATTCCAAAAGTCTTCATCACCCCTAACAGAAACTCTGAAATCACAAAGCAGTTGTCTCTTTGTCCTATGTCATATATTAGGTTTCTAAAAATTATGTCTGCTGTGCACAAGAGGCTAACATGAAGTCTAAAGACACATTTGTTTGCAAAATAAATGATGTGAGGAGCATCCATGCAAATACTACCCAAAGGGGAGTTGGCTATTTAATAGAAAAGGAGAAGAACTTTAAGTCATTGCTACAAGAGACAAAAGGACTTTATATTATAAAAGGGAACATTTTACAATAAGCTACAACAATAATAAACATAAAATCCATGCACTCAATACCAGATCCCCAAAATATATGAGCAAAGTGACAGAATCGAAGGAAGAAACAATTCTATAATAATAGTTCCATACTTGGATACCTCTACATAAATACTTGGATAACCAAACAGACCAATCAAAGTCTCAGTAAGTTATTTTGTGGATGTCAACAAACTGACTCTAATGTTTATATGAAAAGGCAGAAGATCCAGATGAAATTAAAGAACTTAAGAAAAGCTGGCAAACTGCCATAACTTGATTTCAAGACTTACTATAAATCTACATATATGTTTGAAAGAGAAATAATGAGAAAATATATTCCAAGCAAATAATAGCTAGAGTTATCTATATAGTGTGATAATAGTGAAAAAAATAGATCAGTAGAACAGATTAGGGAGCACAGAAATAGACCCTCATAAATATAGCCAGATGATTTTTGAAATAGGACCGAAGGCAATGCAGTTGAATGTATAGTCTTTTCCATAAATGGTCCTGAAATAACTGACCACCCACATGCAGAAAAATGAAGCTTTTGCATTAATTATGGGAATTAATATTTAAGAGCAAATGTGGACCGAGGTTCTGTCTTATCATAAGCTCATCTGATTTATTATTTATTCAATACAAATGAGTGAACTAATGACCTTGGTTATATACTATGCATCACACAAATTCTGTATTTTACATCATTTCTTTATGAAATGGCAAAATATCATTTTACCTTGATTGTCACTGTCATTCTCATGTTTTAATCCAATTCCAGTATTACTCCTTTGATGAATAATGTCAAAAATATAAAATTACTTGAGATAAAAATAAGTACTCAGAAAGTTTCATTGATTCCCTGTAACAAGATGAAAAGAAGAAAAGCAATCACCTCTATTGAATTGCATGTGAAAATGTACAGTCCGAATGTTAGTCATTGTTACTTTCTTTCATTTAAAGTCTCATGTTTCCAAAAGAAGACCAGGATTAGAAAACTGGAATAGCTCAACTGAAAATATTACCATGAATTAATTTCACATCTATGAACATTTACTGTGCAATTGTTGGTTGGAGATAAATGTTTGCTCATCCATTTTCATTTGCCCTTAATATCCAATGCAACCTCAACTAATCTTATTTTCTCCATGCCAGTGTGAGATTATTGTAGTCAACAGACAGTATATTGGGGATCATTTTTTAAATTTTACTGGAGAGAAAAATAGTATTTTTTCATTGGAAAATCTGCTTGAAAAGGTTAAAAGCCTTTGAGAAAGATGGATTTAAATGGCCAATGTAATGCTAAAATTTATTTTCATAATATGCTTAATTTACAATATGAATGTGTTCATGTGTGCAAATATGCATATTTATGTACTTTTTAAATATCTTGTTTCTCTACAATTTTATCAGAGACAATAACAAAACTGTCCCAAGAAAACATCCAAACATCCAACTACCATAAATGTGTTTCCTTGAATTATTTAGAAAACACAAGAAATTATTTTTAACAAGAGCATATGTTGTTGAATGTATTTCTTTGTAATATATACTAATGAGACAAAGGTGGTAAGATAATTTAAAACTACCTGGTGTGTGATATGTTTTAACACAACTGTGTAGTTTTCCAAGTTAATGATTTATGCCATTTGTATTTAACATTGGGCATGCATATTTTAAATTGTAGTACATGCCAAAGAACAAAATGCTTCATTTACTTTTAAACAATAAGATTTATAATATAGAAGATATCAGAAATAACAAAAATATACAGTTTTCACTTATTTCCAATTTAACCTTCATGTATCTCCATTTTGCTACTTGTAAAGGCTACAGATTTTTGTTGTTTTTAGCTACAAAGAACTGTATTTGTGGATTACTGTATTTCAGAAAGAAGTTATATTTTTAAAGACATTATAGACTCAATCAGGGGCTCTATAAAATTCTTATTCTTATTTAATCTTGTGAGTTCACCATGTAAGTTTTTATAATAATTATTTATTAAAGCTGATATGTCATTTTGAAGAAGCTATAAGGTCATTACTTTGGGCTTCAAGTGAAATCTCCAGAATCATCAAATCATAAACACTTCATGACTTAAATTGTTGCGAAACAAAGTCAAAATTGTTTTCTGATTAAATATGACATGATACTGAAAATAATTAATTTATATATTTTTGCAATAATTATTTCATGGTTACAGAAGTTATTTCCTGAAAATTAAAGAATATAGTGAATTAAATTATAACCTTTAATAAATATATTTTAATTTACATTTTATTATCAGGACATATTAGTAACTTTATGTGTTTTCTACTATTTAAAAGGTAATTATTTCTTGGCTGAATGCAGACATCAATTATACTGACTTGCATGTGTTTCTCTTTTTTCCTTTTAGGCTGTACTTTGGAGGTATAAATTTTCTCAGCTTAAAGGTTCTTCAGATGATGGAAAGAGCAAAATCAAATTTTTGTTTCAGAATCCAGATACTAAACAGATTGAAGCAAAGGTAAACACGATAAATTTATCACATACACACGTCTAATTACACTAATGCTATTAAGAAGCAAAAGGGAGAAAATTTAGAAGAATCAAAGTAGCAAAAACATATTCTCCACTTACCTTGAAACATCCCTCATGGCCAATAAAATAAAATCACTTCAAGATTTTAATGACAAACATCCACTGAAAGGCATCACTTAAAATAAATTATACACAGTTAATTGCGTTTCTTACTTTTAATTCCTCATGCACTGCATTTGTATCACACTAAAATAACATTTTGAAAAGTAAATATGTCACTTGGTGGTTTCACATTCTAATTAAGTAATTTAAAATATTTAAAAAAGTGAATTCTATTTTATCATTATTTATTCTCTCCCAAAATAAGAATACAAAGTCCTACAGAAACTGATTTAGTAAATAAATGCATTTCCCCAGTGATCTATATGTTAAGCAAGATGAGTTAAATGAATGACTTTCGACTTTGCCCCTTGCGCATTTTTAGTACTCTGGAATATATTAACTATGCTGCTTTTAACTCTTTAGAAAGATGCATTACTTTTATTTTTATGAGTATGTGTATTTGCAAATATTCAAAATCTATATTATTTACATCACCCTACTATGAGATTCATAATGACAATATTTTTGGTTAGCATAAAACATAAAAATACTTCCTTTGTGTAAGAATGTATAAAATTACAAACACCAAAGTGAAAAATTAATCCTGTGGTTGTTATAACCCAATATAACTTTCAACAATGAATTAAAATTATTATTATAATTCTTTTACCTTCCTTTACCCACTAAATCCAGGGAGAAAGTCTTAGCCTGAGATTCAAAGTCTTCGGAGGTCTGGCCTATGTGATAGTCTAGACAAAGGCTTTTTTCAAGATGACCCCTTCTTTGCCTTATATATCTTCTAATGCTTTTCTCTTAACTTTTCTCTTCAGCTCTGATTTGAGCCCCTCTGGGAATATCCATTCTTGTTTTATATCATTCTTTGTCTTTAGTATTTCTTTCTGGATTGTATATTGAAGGAGAGAATGGTGGATGCACTTCCCTTATGCTGGATCCTTCATATTGTATTTCTCTAAAGCATTAATATTTCCATGACCTTGCCTTATATTTATACCTCATCAATTTAGACAAATGCCTTGATGACTGTATCCACTTCCTTTAACTTGTCTCATAACTTTCAAATCTACATTCCCAACATGGCCGCCTCCCTAAACATAGGCACATCTTCTCTCTGTCTTGTCACTACTCTGCCCTTCTTCCCATCAGCTGCCAGGGATGGATCATTCACTTTGTGCCAGCCAATTATACCACTCTTTAAGTCAGTTCTTAGAGCTGCTATCAAAAAATGTATTGCAGTTGTGAACTATTTACTTTATATATTTACTTTTTAAATATATTTACTTTAACTATTTACTTTTTATATTTACTTTAGCTCTTGGTAGATTTTTCAATATTTCAAAGTACGGCACATATGCTAATACTGATGAATTCATGTTAATATCATTTCTGTATTCTTCAAGCTAATGGGAAACCTCAACCATGAGTTACTGACAGCAGTATAGTATTTATTTGATTTTTGTTTATTAGATTTCTAACCCTTTTTAAATTTTTTTAAATAGTTTTTTTTTTAGTTATAGGTGGACACAGTACTTTTATTTTATTTATTTATATGTGACACTGAGGATCAAATCCAGTGCCTCACACATGTGAGGTGAGCACTCTACCGCTGATTCACAACCCCTTTCTAACACTTTGAGTGAGCTCAGAAACCCTCAGCACATGAAGCAAAAATTACAAATTTAATCAAATGTCCACTATTTAGTTTTTGCTTTAATATGATGTTTATTACATAATGCAGCTATGCAGCTGATTATATTTAATGTATTAGTTACTTACCTGAGAGTCACTAAATGTTATTCTCATTATTCTTGTGTTTTTAAGCTTTATTTTATAATTTCATTCATCATGTACAAATTTTAAAAATAAGATATTTGGTTACATATGATTTTCAAATTTATAGGTAGCAATTGTGGAATGAAAAAAACAGTTTTAAAAATAATGAAAGACTACAATATTTGGTGAGTTAAGGAAGGTACTTTTTGGGGAGTGGGTACCGCAGATTGAACTCAGGGGCACTTAGCCATTGAGCCACGTCCCCAGCCCTATTTTATATTTTTATTTAGGGACAGGGTCTCACTGAGTTACTTAGCACTCACTTTTGCTGAAGCTGGCTTTGAACACATGATCCTCTTGTCTCATAATGAAGGTCTTTAAAGTCAGCATCTCTCTGTATAAAATAAGGAAAATAATACCCCCCAGGGTAACATTAAAAAATACCAAATTAAAAATTGAGGCCATATAACAAGTGAAGTCACTGATCAATCAGAAGGGTGGCAAGCTATACAGACTTTTTGAGCCACTTTGTAACTACCTCCAGACTATCACCTCTGCTGATATCAGATAAATTGTATAAGAATTAAAATTAGAGCATTTGCCAACGTTTTTATATTCTATGCAACTGCAACTTGTAAGTAGTAAACTAATGTCCAAACAGAACCAAAAATAAGATTGTTGATGTTTATGTGTGGACATAAGTTTTCACTGTACAGTATAAATGTACAGAATTACAAATTGCTGGATAATAGTTGTTTAATTTTAAAGAAAATAGCTAATTTATACTCCAGAATGGGTATGCCATTTTATATGCCCACCAGCAATGTATGAGACTTCAGTTTCTCTGCATTCTTGCCAGTAAGTTAAATTGTCACTACCTTTTATTTCAGATGTTCTAATCATAGTTTTAAGCAATGCCTAGTAATTATAAACAATTTTACATGAGTGTTTTCTAGTCCATTTTTAAAATTAGATTGTTTTCTTTCTTTGTTTTTTGCCTATTTTCTAATTGTATCATTTGATTTTTTGTGCTATTTTTCTGTTAATGATGCTAGAAACATTTTAATTTACTATCGTTATTTTCTATGTTGTTTTCTGTAATCAATTTAATGAATTCTGCTTTCTCACTTGTTTTATTTTTGCTACTATTGTCACTTTGGCTTTATATTCCTCTTGTTTTGAAATAGAATTTGAATGAATTAGACTTTTTTTCATTTAAAAATAAATTTTTAAAAATTATTTTTTGAATGAAAATTTACCTAAAAAAGGGCTGTTTTAGGTACCCAGAAAAATTAAGTAGAAATATAGCAATTTCCCTTTTGTTCCTCTCCCCAAACAGGCAGCATGTCTCCACTATCTACAGCCTACAATGGTGTGGCATGCTTGTTACAACCATTGAAGCTTCATTGACACATCATTATCTCCCAGAATCCATTGTTAATATTAGGATTAAATTATAGTATGTGCAACACCAAGAGTTGCCCCTAATGTGGAACATACAAAGATGATTCACTGGTCTGAAGATCCTCTGTGCCCCGTCAGATCATCCCTACCTTCCAGTAACCATACAATCACTGATCTTTCACAGTCTCCCTAGTTTAACTTTTTAAAACTTTAATAAGTTGAAACATACAGTAGATATTCTTTCCAAGTTGACTGTTTTTACTTGGTAAAATGACTTTCTATGACATTTATTTTCAGTACTGAATAATACAGTATTCTATTTCCTGGATGTATCACAGTTAATTTATCCATTCACTTAGTGAAGGACATTTTGGTTACTTCTGAGTTTTGGCAATCAATTATGAATAAAGCGGCTTTAAGTATTCATTTTTTGTGTGTACAGAAAATTTCAATTCTTTTGGATAAATAAATACCAATTATTGCTAGATCTTAGGGTAAGGCTGTTTCGTTTTTAAGAAATTGACAACTTGTCTCCCAAAGTGAAAAATTTTCATTCACAGCAGCAATAAATGAGTGTTCCTGTTGTTCCACAAACTAGTCAGCATTTGGTTTTGTCAGTGTTTTAAATTTTGAGCATCTAACAGATGCTTCATGGTATTTCATTGGTTTGATTTTCATTTCACTGAGGACAAATAATGTAAAGCATGTTTTAATGAACTTACTTTTCACGCATACATACTGTTCTGTATAGCTGATGTTCTGTTACTGTTTTAGACACTATATTTCCCAAGTGCTACCCAGGGTCTGGTACATGCTAGACAAGTACTCTGCCTCTGAGCCACATCCCCAACCCCAAAACACTATAAATTGGGGTGTCTGTTTTCATATTGTTGAGTTTTAAGAGTTCTTTGTGTATTTTGATTATTTTTTCATCTGAAGAAGTCTCTTTTCTGACTTCTGTAAATATTTTATCCTTATCTGTGACTTTGCATTCTCTTTCTTCATAGAGAAGAAAGGTGGTTTGTCATTTCTTTAATTGATTGTGCCTTTTGTGCATATATAAAAACTCATTTACCAAACCTAATCTGTATTTTCCCATTTGCTAACTTCCAGCAATTTTACAGTACCACATTTTACATTTGGGGCTGTGATTTATTTTGAATTAATTTTTGTAATGTGAGATCTATGTCTGGATTTATTTCTTTCCTTTGCCTTGATAGTAGATGCACAGTTATTCTGGTATTGTTTGTTGAAAACTCTATATTTTCTCCATTCTCTTGCTTTTTGGCTCCTTAATCATAGATCTGTTGACAATATTGTGTGATCCCATTTCTGGACTGTCTCTTCTGTGCAATTTATCTCTTTATCTGTGCTCTTCCCAATATTACACTCTCTTATCACTACAGCTTTAGAGTATTTGTTAAAGTTAAGAACTGTGAATACTCTAAATTTGTTCTTGTCTTTTGATATTATGTTGGGTATTCAGGGTCTCTTGCCTCTTCATATACGCTTGATTTTCTTTTTCTTTCTTTTCTTTTTTTTTTGAGAGAGAGAGAGGGAGGGAGAGAGAGAATTTTAATATTTATTTTTTAGTTCTCGGTGGACACAACATCTTTGTTTTGCATGTGGTGCTGAGGATCGAACCCGGGCCGCACGCATGCCAGGCAAGCGCGCTACCGCTTGAGCCAC